AAAAATCATATTATTACCAGACATTCAAGGTTATGGAATTTTACTATATTTCAAAAATGATAACGATAAATTGAACATCGCCCACTCATTTTTTTAATAATGAAATCTTACTTATCTTATAAATTTGAATGTTTAGATGGATGTATGTTTGTTAGAAGGTATCTTTAAAACGATCTCGATGAAATTTAGCATAGATGTATAACATAGTCTGGAAGAACACATAGACTGATAATCACGTTTTTTTTTTTAATTCCGCGCTGTCGGATTCGCGAGCTATAGCTAGTATAGTGATAACGATAAATTGAACATCAACGACTGACTTTTTAATAATCAAACTGTCCTTGAGCTACTAATTAATCGTAATAGAATGTGAGTAAATTCATTTCTTAAAGTTTCTTGGTCAAGAATTTTCAGCCACGAGTTTGAAATCACGTTGAGCTTATCGTATATTTTAAATCACGTGTATTTTAACCGTGGAACATGTGTTCAAAAAACTTATTAGCTTTGATTTCTTCAGAGAGTTGTTGTAATACCGATGCCACGACTGCGACGACGCCATTAGAAACTCATCTTAAGAAATAAATAAACAGTAATAAGAAAGTAACAAATTAATTTTACTCTATGGATTCTCTGTTCCATGAATTATTTTGAAAGGCAATATTCTACATGTTAATTAATTAAATTACTTGTAAAGCTTTTGTAAAGTTATATTGCTACGCTGGATTTTTTTGGCTTCACCTTTAATATTTTGAAACAGGTCGAATGAAAGGTTAAGCAAATTAAAATATATTTATAAGTGGTGACCCGGGAATCAGTGACAGAGATGTGGTGCTTGTAGAAATATTGTCGACACTTATTTTTTCAAAGTGAATGAGAGAGACGGCAATATTTTGGTAATATATTCTGACAGACAGCCACTATAAAACTTGATTCTAAATTAAAACAGCAAACAAAATGAGCAAATAACTGTTTGACGAATGACAATATAATTCAGTAATATTTGCTTAACTTTTATAATCAATAATCTATTCGTACATGTTTAATATGTGTTCTCCAAACATAATGTCCAAAATTGTGAACTGTTTCCAAAAATATTATTTTAACAAATTAATTCTATTAAATAAATTATTTTTCTTTTATGATTAATTATATCTTTTATCCCTTCCATAAATTAATCATATTTTTATTTAATTTTCGTACGAAATATAGAATTAAATCCGCGTAATCTATTACATCTATCAAGTAATCTAGAACTTCGATATTAATTGATATTTATCTTTACAGCTGACCACAATTTGGCTCGCGTCCATGATTTTCTATCATTAAACATTCGTAATATCACCGTGCGATAATTTATGTTCTATTGCATTTTAAATTCAGTTACGATATAGAAGCTACTTGTCAATTGGCAAACATCTAGATACAATTGTATTTTATTCTTGTCGATCAAAGTGAACTCTAGTGCAAATTACGCTGGCAATTAGCAGCATTGAAGAATTTCTTGAACGTTCAATGTATTGACAGAAAGTCATTGGCAGCGATTACCACGGGCGCAGTAACGTGTGCTGAGCCAGATGGGGTCGAAGGGAGATAAATCGGGAGGCTGCTTACGACGCGAAGCAGCACAGATCATCAGTCGCACTCGAACGATCAAACTATTCACACGTTTCACCATATCTGAATAGGTCCGTGTAATTTTAGTGATGTGTTTATCATATGTGTTGTGTCATTACAATAATGAACTTTTTCATAATTTTCACGAGTGCCAGTTCATAATAAATATGTTTTGATCTCAGAATCACCTTGCGCGATGTGGGATGACGTAGTGGAAGAAACTCCAGCGCCGGCCGCGGCAGCTCCGCCAGCTGCAGACACCCCGGCGGGGGAGGCAGCCGGTGAAGAAAAACCTGAGGTGGCCGAGCCCCCTCCACCGGTAGACAACACAAAGAATGAACCGCGCCGGCTTGTATTCAAGCACTGGATCCGGTAAGTTAATGCATACTCAAAGTAAAAGTCAAACACTTCAAAAGTTATAGTAGTTTTATTTAAAGAAAAAAGAAATTACAGCGTCAACTTAATATTTTTTTTATCATTTTCTTTTCAGACCGAAATTCCTTCAATACAACTATATCTATGATTACCAGCGTAACTACTACGACGATGTACTCTCCTACTTGGACAGACGCAACAGGGGACTGCCTGTAGAGAGACCACGCGCTCAGACGTGGGGCGAGCGAGCCCTTAGGACGTACCTATCCAAGGATAACAGTTATACAGCAAAGACGTACAACAGAGACACGACTTTGCTCAATCACATCTCGACTGCTGCCCGTTTCCAACGTTACCACAGCAAGGCTCGCATCGCGAGGAAGTATTCCAATCTCGGATTTAGCTCAGTATCCCTTTAGCTTTGCTTAACACCCTCGCTTAACATCGCTAGGCGGACGAGGCCCCAACAACCGGGCGTGACCTATTTATCGATGTTACAGGATTTCGCTGGCGTGAGCTAACTCTCGCCGACGGCCGGTAAGCGCATCAAGTAAACTCATCACATCGAAAGCTGTCCGCATTCCTATTTATAACATCGTTGAGAAGACAATAAATAATAAGTTTTATATTGTCTTTCATTTATGCTTGCGAAGACCTTTAAATAACAACTGATTGAGTATTGCCTTCACAAAAATGTCTGATGTAGTTGAACAGTAGATATGTTTATTTAATGCCTCAAACTAACACAGCACAGCGATTTTAGACACAGATGCAAGGCGATGTGTTTTTGAATTATTTTAGTTAGTTTACATATAAAACTCTTAAGCCACTTTCTGTTGTTTAGAAAAGCGCACCTGATGTTCCAAACTATTTTTAATGTAAACAAAAATCGATTTTTGCACTTCACTTTATGATCTAAATTAAGATACAGAAGTATTAGCTCATAAATTTAATACTGCTGTTTGATGTTACGGGTATGTAGCAAAAGTTATGTTAACAAACCTGGATTTTTTACTTACAATTTAGTTGTTTGTTTTACATAGAAAATTAGCTTTGTACGTGTAGTACATTTCTCTTTGAATTTTAAACAATGCTTTTAGAAATGCTTTAGTTGGCGATCGCTCATTGTGACGGAAACATAGGGAAGCTTTTAGTACAAGTAAAACAAATGACAGTCGAGGAAATAAATACCAACGTTGTATCCCGGTGTCGTCTCAGCAATGTAATTAACATCAAAATTACTAGTAATTTAATATGCCGGTGAGTAATGTACTATAATCGATCCTGTTTTTCGACTAATAGGGTATATTAGATAAATTGCTATATAAATGGGCCTTATTTAATCCCCTTGAATAACAAATTGTTCCGAGACAATTTATTGTGGAAAAGAGATAGGGGGCGGAAGCTGAATTAATAAAGCAACGTCGAATCTATCCTCGCTCTCAAGTACTAAATCAAAATAAACTTGCGCGTAGACATTACTATTAAAGCGACGTTGTTGTACTCATAATCATTTATTTATCACGGTTATACTATTAAATAAGTATGAATTGACGTTTAAATTTTTTGAGGGTTTACAGATTTTAATTGCTATAGCAGGCAGTCAAATTCTTGTTTTTTTTATTTATTGTTAGATTTAGTCACAAAAAAAGAAATATTCTGACAGAGATATGTTCATCACATCAAACATTGTAAGCAACAATTTAAGGGCCAGAAAATGGAGGTGCTATCTCGGTTAGTTCTAACAGAAAATATGTAAAATCTAAATGGGCATATAAAATTGCATAAAAGAAAAAAACGTTGCAGCACAATACGAAAAGTTTCTTATTATACTTTTTGACATTGACGGGGGGCGCTAGTGAGTTGTCATAGTTTGACTTCAACGGATCAGATATCCTTGTCAGTCCGTAAATCGATTACCAATAACATTTTGAAAGGTAACACTTGAATTGTGTCTCTTATTGTCACGTAGTGACATATTCGTTCGTCGTCCACTAAATTTCAATGTCGAGATATCTAAAATAACTTATCTTTGACAGCTCAGTGAATGTAATCGTTTGGACGTAGTCCAGAACACTTGCTTACCTACCAGGTAAAGCCGGCATTCAGCCAAATTGTTGATAATTAAATGTAACGATGATCACGATATCTCTAGGATATCTTGATCGTTCGATTAGTAACATGCTGATAAGAATAAAATCAGACTGTCTCATTAATTGGACGCGGCAATGGTTCAATGACACTACGATGAATTTATAAAATGTTAATTTGTTACTGAGGTACAATTCTTGGACTTTCTTGAAATTCAAACTAAATATATTTGTTAATAAACATACATTAAGTATTTACAGGACAGACGGCGTGTACTAATTATTAAAAAGTACACTTTTACTATGACTAAATTTAATTTTGCACACATAGTTTTCGAATTTACATGATATGATAATATAATTAAAATAACGACAAAAGCGTCATCTATCGACACAGAAAAGCTTTGTAGCCCGGATCAGTAGCAGGTGTTTAAAATACATATACAATGCTAATTTTGCAATGTCATATAATGACTACTATATATTTAACATTCTGTCATTCTAGGCCAGTGTCTTGGTCGTCTATTTTCATCTGATCCCCAGCGAAACTATTGTCATTATCTCTTTTGTCTATTGGAAATAACTTAAACTAGTCGACAATAATATATCGATATTTACATTTGAGTTGGTCGGAAAACCTTGAGAAATTCCTAGTAGATTATTGACTAGGAGAAAATTTCTATATAAAACCTACTAACTCAATGTAATGTTAGGTCGTATATCGTAAAATTCATATACACAAAGTGTAAACTTTTATGACAGGCGTAAAATTTTATTTGACACGATATAATATCGATAATTTTAAAGAATCCATTAGTTTCGACGTTGTAAAGTCTGTTGTAATACGTTATACAAACTATAAATATTATAATTTAAAATTGTATTTATTGTACTATATTCATTTAGTATTATTTCCTTAATTTTATATGTATATATAAAATTAAATAAAAAATGGATAATATACTATTTATAAAACAGTGCATCATCTAAAAGCAAAGTTATAAACACTCATCTCGATTGAGAATAAACGATGAGTGGTTGCTGGAATCTAAATTTAATGTTTTTGGTTTATTATTTTACTTCTGATGCCGTGTACACTAAGCATAGGAAGCAAGGACAGCAAAATGAGCATATTACTGACGGATCTGAATTTATGAAACGTGTCGTCGGTGGATCAAGTAAGTAAAGCAAATAACTATTCCTTAGAATGACAAGTATAATCGCCTTTTATCACTTTTACAGTGACAGTTGTGATTTGAAGCTCAGGGCCGCAACACACGGACAGGTTTAGACATCCGACAATGGCAGCGTCAAGCCATTGCGTCGGAGAGCTTAAGACAGCACCAAAGCTGCTTAGAGCTGTCCGTGTACAGCGTCCCTTATTGAACATCAATTGTCATAATCTCCTTTAATCGCTTATGTTAAACAAATGACGAATGATAATTTCATATCAGAGACAAGTGTACCACAGATTAAAAAAAGTCTAGATTATAATATTACTACATACCCATGATATTTAACTTTTCTTCATTTGAATACTGAACCCCTAATTAAACTACATGTGTTTAATGAGGATTATTATGATTCATTTATACGTATTAAGCAATAGAATCATTGAAGAAAAAAACTTTAAAATTCTTGATTTTCAAATATAGAGCGTGTTTTGTTTTTAGAATTAAATTCAAGGCCGAAATTTCTTATGTTTACCGCACCATACAAGTTGTGCGAAGGTGAATGTAGTGATGAAAGATCGGTAATGGGATTTCCAGTGTATTTAGGAAATTATGCTAAGAAAGTATATAGAGATACTTACATTAGAAATTACAATAAAGAACTAAATCAAACCGACAAAATTACTCATCCACCAAAATCGAAAAGTAAAAAGACAAATAAAAGGAGGGAAACAAACCCCAACGGGAGGAGCACCACATCGACAGAACCACCGATTTTTACTGATGATAAAAAAGAACGATTAAATTTTATTATAAATAAAAAATCAGACTGTAGCTGCCCATATTTAGATCCTAATATATGTTACAAGAAACGAAATCCCGCTATGAGGCAAAAACAGGAAATCTTCATAGATGACATCAAAAAGCTATTCACAATATATCGAAAAACAAAAGATATAATTTAATTATATATATTATTTTAAAATAATTTTTTAAAATAAAACTTATACTTCACACAACAACGACTCGATTTTCTACGATATCAATATAAATATTTTAACCTAATCGATTTGTTTTTCATATGTAATAATCGTGATTGTATAAAATGATTATAATTGGCACATCTTTGTTCGAGTAAATATATAAATTTAGAATTAATTAATTTAAAATTTAGTAGAGTGAATAGACACTTACTAAGCTAGCGCGTACCATCTTTCGACCAAATCTCCACTTCACCAGGTGGGATCGTGTTCAACCGTTAACTTATAAAATGTAAAAAAAATACTTTATCTCTTTTCCTTTGTCCGTAAGAGTATCGATATTTGTAATTGTCGGTTTCCACTGACGATACACTATACAAGCCAAAAACATATTTCTCATATGCCATATTCTCTTTGAAAAAAAAAACAACAACAAGATTGATATTACATAAGCATTTAAGGCTAAGCAAAAGTATGATGTTTTTGGTTAATAATATTTTGATTTCCTGAGTAGTAACAAACATTTCCTTTTATCGGATACTCGAACAAATATGACATCTAATTAATAACAAAAGAATTTCGCTCGAGTAATCAATTAAGATTTCCAAGTAATAGTTAGTAATGATGGAACAAAACAATATTTCACTTGTTGCCGTCTACCAAATCAAATACCTTATTTATTTAGCAAAAAATCAAATGACAAACAAGTTGTTATTGCAATAAAAATATTTGAAAAATATTCTCAATTTATATTTGTTTACTTTTCATTTTACCTTTGCAGCTTGGGACGCGAGGAAAAGTAACGAGATATTTAACTTACCGCGCAAGAACGGTTCGAAATATTTTAACGTTCTTAGTAAACTAATGGATGAAAACTACCGTCACATCAGTGCTGCAAAAAATAAAGATAAACATGAGAAAAATCAACATGGAAATAACGTCTGTTGCCCAGAGCATATCGTTATGCCTTCCTTTATAACGAATAAAATGTTCGATAGAATAATGAGGAAAATACTGGCACATAGACGCAATTATTTTTGTTGTTTTATTCAAAATATTTTCTAATTCATCCAAATCACCGTATATTATAGTACATATTAAAAATGCGAATGCTTAGATGAGTGGATGGATAGATGGATGTTTGTTTGAAGGTATCTCTAGAACGAAATAGATGTAAGTAGAACATAGCCTGGGAGAACACATAGGCTACTTAACAAGTTTTTTTTTAACTCGCCACGGACGGAGTTGCGGGCGACAGCTAGTATTTGTATAAATCAATCTTTAACAAATCAAAGATAAGGACAAGTTCACGATACTTAAACACGATTAATTACATTTTGTAAGCGACAGTTTAATCATTGAAAAAAAATAAAAAATCAAACTTTTTTTCCGAACGTTATAAAAATACACCGATCGGATTTTATTTCATAAGGCAATGAACGTGCGTAATCAAAACGAACTTAAAGTTTTGCAATAATACTCTTTGTAGGCTAATAGCATTGCTTAACTTGGCATTTACATAAAGTTATTTTTAATCTGATAAATAAGTTTCAACTTGAACAAGCAAATTGTTTTTCTGAAATCACAAAAACGACATCAAGCATGATAATTATAAAAAACGTTAAAAATTGTATATTACAGACTGTTCAGGTGATTCAATAAAAATGATTTTAAAATCACGACAAACTGTATTTCAGAGTATAATAAAATTTTCTGGCGCATTCATTCTCTCACACACAGCGTAATGCACTCGACAATTCTGTTTATTGCTTTTGTATTATTAAATTACTCTTTGTCCCAAGAGGAAAGCAACGATGTAAATTTAAGTCAACAAGTGAAAAAAGGTAACATAAATCATGTATATTTTATTTTCATTTGCAAATCTACTTTATGTAGTTCATAGTATATTGTACATACAGTACTTTTGTTGTTTTAGAATTTTCATAGTGAACTTGTGACTTGATATTTCTTGATTTCTAGCACAAGATTTTAACGACGAATTCAAACATCAAAACAGTAAACATTTTTTTCATTCAAGCAGTAACATTTTGATGTATGGATATATGGATGGATGTAACTCCAGAACGGCTGCCTAAATCTGGCTAAAATAGAACATGTAGGCTACTAATTACGTTTTGTTTTTAATTCCGCACGGACGGAGTCGCAGGCGACAGCTGGTATTTTGACCATAGTAGACTCTGGATAAACGTTGTCCGCTTCCGATGGACGATCTTTATAAGCGAGAACCTCGGTTTAACGAAAAACCTCTATAAGCGAGAAACATATCGGGGTCCTTTGGTCTCCGTCTTGTCCAAGTTCGACTGTTTATTAAAATTCATCGGTCGAGTGTCTTATTTTATACGTATTATTTTATGAGAATCTCAATATTAAACGATTGTTTCAGTCGATCAAGGTCGGAGATCTCCAATCATAATTCAGCCTGTTATAATAAAAGTATATCGGTACCCAGAATCAAGACGTGTTATGACTTCACCACTTATGTATTAAAATAGTTTCTCAAACAAATTGAATTTGAAATTCGATAACTCTATATGTGATGTTTAATAAATTTTTATAATATTAACGAGTATTTCTATACTATCAAAGATAGCTAATTTTGAAAGTTCTCAAAGTAATGTAACATGATAACCTTTTTGTTTTTATTGCTACATTATTTCTTGACTTAATTGAATATCCGATACTGAATACATAAAATAAACGTCGCTTGTGTCCTTGGTTATTGGATCACAGATAATAGGTAACGAGTCTTTACTTACTAAAAGAATAAAAGCTTTAACATTATCTCGCAAATTATATGTAATTTCCGAGATAATGTTAAAGCTTTTATTTTATCAAAGATAGACTGATGAGTATCTTTGATAGATAACAAAATTTAAACATTTGTGTCATAATAAAATTCCTATAAGATCTCATATAATAAGTTAAGTACGGTATTATTTTGTGAAATATACTTACTACAATAGACGACAAACAATCAAGTTGTGTTTTGTCAAATTACAATTCGCACAGCTGTTCGGTGATACAGCACAGGTTGTGGAAATAGTTTACTGTGAAACAATGCAAGCGGCAGGTGTCGAAGTAGCGAGACTAAAATAAGTCTTTTCAACAATTCCTAAGGACGCAGCGTCATAACGGTGAGCATAATGTATTGTTAACGTCTTGGCAATTTATATTCGCGTATACAAATTGTAGTATGCACTAAGCTCACTACTTTACTAATGCTCTTCAATTTACAAGCTAGTTGACAACTCAAACTCCAAGTAACAGATGCTAGAATAATTATTATAAATTCTTTTTTTTTATTATTGATAACAAAATGTCGACATAAATCTTGTTTGGTAGTCATATAATCCATATTAAATAATATTTTTAACAAACAAGTAGTCGAAAATGTTTTCTATGCATTATTTCTTACTTCGAAGTTGTGTTACACGAACTAAGAACATTTTCTTGCTAAGTATGAAAGGTAACAATAAAGTGATGTTTTACTTATCAACTTAGATACTTTGTTTTCTTTTGTTTAGATACTGTTGTATTTAACACAGTATTTTAACGAGGGAAATAACTTAAGACCATGAGTACTTAGAATAAAAGCAGATGCTTTGAACTACATTTACAATAGAATTATTTTCAATGTTTGACTCGACAACTTCTTAAATACTATTAGTTTCTCGAAAATAATGCACAAGCATTTAAATACCTCTTGAGTCTTAGAGTTTTGAAGTACAGTCGCGTTCGTTCGCAGTATACCATTTACAGGAAAATTGGCATCTCTCAACAATGAGACCGCAAACGATTTTTATTTAAAATAAAATAAGATTTGATATTACCTTCATTATACTATGACAATTTAATGTGGAATAGGCTATTGTTACATCACCCATATTTATAGTGTGAAGACGTACGAAACACTCGAACGTTAGTCTCTTTCAGATGTGACACCGCGAAAGAAATCTACTGTACATGCCAACCAGAAGTCTGTAGTACTCGCAATTTTTTAACTCACTACAAAATTAATTTTAATCGTTTACCATCGTTTTCAAAAGATACCTAAAATATTAATGTGTGAAAATGCATTTTTTATTATTTCAATCTTGCTTTAGTTTCTCACCTGAAGAGCCGTAACCCTGATCTTTATGCGTCATGGTATTACTTTAGCCACTGGCATGGTACCAGCGCCAGACAGTTGTCCAAGACCCAGAGGCGTCACGATGACTCAACTACTTATTTTTTAATACGCTTGCTTATTTGTTATTTTTATCGCGATTGATTTGATCTGCAATGTTTTATCGTTTTTTTTAGTTGCACTTTTCGTCACTTTGTACTTTATCAAGAATTATTTTAGATAGTTGTCACCCGACTGTCGTCGACTTCGTCCGCGCGAAATAAAAAATCTTAATTAGAGCCTATATGTTCTTTCAGACTATTTCTTACATCTGTAATAAATTTCAGCGAGCTGCATGCAGTCACTCTGGAGATACCTTCAAATAAACAGCCATCCAAATATTTGCATTTATAATATTAGTTGGATGATTAATCTGTACATTATAACTATATGCTTTAATGTTAATTTTCACATTAGCGTATTAAAACCAATAATTCATCAAAGCATGAAAATTGAAGTACTCCATTAGGACATTACACGAATGATGAATTAATTCGTCACAGTATAAATTACTGTTCTGTGTTGATTTTCATCCAAATTGTTAGTTTATGCACTCTTGTGTTTCTATGTATTAGGTAACACCAATTTTCTGTGCATTTGAATAATTTATGATCTTTTGCTTTCATTAATATAAGGTTAGTAATTAATTCATATTTTTACCGATTATTGTAGTTTTTCTTGCCCTAGATCGTTTTAGTAATAATAAGGTGGCAAAAGAGCAAAGCCGAAATAACAAAGCAACCGCTGTCCGTCAACATCCGCAATCATCATGGCTTTGTCTACCTTTCATCGACAGAGGAGTGGCCACAGAAAGAGGATATTTTCCTTTCCTATGCGCCCCCTTCTCCTCTAAACGTTCCCTTATCATACTTTTCTACACATGTCACTGACTAGACACTGCCAAAAAACAAGGTCTGCAACACGCACTCATCATATTAACACGGAATTTCTTCCACTTGACTTCTGTTTGCTTTGTGGTTGTTGTATTGCACCGGATATTGTTGTTTTTGGCATCTACCGCACTCAGAGTCACTTCTGATACGTAACGTCCGTTCTCTTTGATATTCCATTATTCATTCTAATAAAATTCTTGAGTGACAACCACAACATTATCTGAATCATTTATACTAATCCTATTTTCCTTGAATGCTTTTAGATCTGTCACTGGATATTGAGTCTATAATGCTCATCTGACAGACATCCATTTAATTAATTACAACGTTATCTCATCTGGCTGCTTCTATTATAAATAGGGAGTCATATTTGTACACGATTAATGTATAATATAACGTATAAAATAAGCGATTTACATCAGTTAACACCATTCTATTTATACTTTTTTAAACAATACGATATAACGCTTGCCAAAATATAAAAATATTTTGTTCCCCTGTCATTTTTCCCCAATAAAAGTTACCTATCTAAATATATTTTTGAAAAATGGGTATTACTAATTGTTATGAATATCAAAAAATCAGCAATGTAATAATACAAATAAAATACGGAGACAATCATTGTTTTAAAATTGTAATTGAGTGGATTTAACTCTATCATCGTTTTGGCACAAAAAGTGACAGTCGCAACACCAGACGCTTCATATCATAAACGCTTACGTCTGTCACCAATATGATTTTGAGTCAAGATAACAATTGTAAATATTAGCACATTGTTCCGTCGCTTGGACGCCAAATATATTCTGGCCTTTCTTACGACTGTGCCACCTAATATTTCAGTCACCGTAATCTGCTATCGAGTTAGGTTTTATAATGAGCGCCAAATCCCATAATACTACATACAGATCAGTGCAGTTCATATTAGTCATCATCATTAGCTCACTATACAACCCCAAAGGGATCGTTTGTGACTATCCTAAGTTAGAGGTGACTAGGCCATAGTCAAATACGCTGGCCCAATGAGGGTCGGTTGGCTTCACATATATTATGGAATTTCTTCGCAGATATGTGCAGGTTGCATCACGTTGTTTACCTTCACACATTGGTAAATAGCTGGATTCGAACCCTGGACCTGCAAATTACAAGTCACTGACGACAATCACTAAAAATCCATGGATGATTTGAATAGCTTTTTAATTTATTTTTACAGATAGTTATGAAACTTATCAAGACGTTATTATTGATGAAGGTAGCAATATGTATTCAAGCGTCGATAGTCGGTGTAACGTACATGGACGATTTTGATTTCGAAGAACGATACAGAAACGTAAACGAATGCAACCCCATATATTGGCATCCTTTACATTTACCAAAAGATTGCATTGATATGTACGAAAAACTGATTCGTTCGAATTTAGGTTCTATGGGACCTCTTCAATTGTTTAAAGATAGACTGTTCGATGAAGTGGAAGATGATTCTGAAGAGAGTTACGAGTATCATCATTTTGCACCAGAATATTTATTGCCTCCAGTAATTTCGGGGAAAAAAGAAGTGATTTACGAAAATAGGCAACCGTTATCTCCTGTGAAAAAGATGATAGAAATGATGAGAAGTGACGCAATGACTATACCAACGGCACCAGAGATAGGCATAGCACCACAGTACGGGCCAATTGCAGTATATCATCAGCCGGTATCTAAACAAAGTGAAAAGGCAATTAAAGAAATAGCAGAGGCATACCAGAAAGCAATGATGCCACATAAAACAAAGAAACACAAAAAAAGTTAAGAAGCATTTTGTACTACAATTATTTTACTTTATTACGTTTTTAATAAATGTTTAAAATTACTTATCAAAATCTTATTTGTTTTGAAATCCTTTTATAATTTGGCTTATGCTTGAAGATCAACCATCAAATTCATCTCGAGATTTTTTTTGTCTATTGTAATACGTATAGTTGATATATTTGTCCGTCTATTTTCAAACTTTCCAGTACCCAATATTTACATTATCTAACATTTATTCATCATCATTATTATCTTATCCTTTTACTACTGAGATTTGAGAAAGTAATTACTATTCTTCTAACCGTTGGAACATCTGAGTTCCCCTCTTACGCATTATCTTTTTCACGCAATCCATCCTTTCTTCGGTATTCCTCGACCTTTCCAGCCATCCACATTCAATGTCAATAGTATCTTGTTTATAAACTTGCCATGTCCTTGTCACAATAAAAATTTGCTTCTCAATATTTCCTTAACTGAACCTATCTGATATTTATGATGCGGGAATTATGTTTATTAATTAACGTAGCAAACAAAATCTATATCAGATTAAGAATTATAAAACCATAAATCTTGTAAATCAATCACAATTGTCCTATAGAATTCTAGTAGTTGTAAATTCAATTGTGAATTTTTTTATTTTATCTTTTGGTAAAAAGAATTTTGCATTGTTCTTAGAATCAATGTTTAAGCAATTATCCATTTTCAAAGCAGTCTCCTATTGAGTCAGACGTGTAATAATTACTTATTGCAGTGAAATGAAATTATTACTCAAGGTATGTATCCAACTGTTCACGATCATTTAATTATTTCTAACTTATTGTACGTCGCTTTATAATTCAATGAGTTTTAATAAATTAGGCATATTTATATAGCTTATATAGCTTTGTTTGTAACCATTGTGATCATTTAATACGAAAACTAAAGTATTTGATGTGTTACGATTTCTGGTGATTGCGCTTTTAATGAAAGTACAAAATAATTTTATTTTTCAGGCAATAATAACTATTCTATTACTGAATCTAGTAAAATGTTCCATAGATGGACTATCCTACATGGATATACAGAATTCAAAAAAATATAATACAATCCCAAAAGGTGAGGATCCATGTAATCCTTTATATTGGTATCCAAGACGTATTCCTGATTATTGTTATTTCAAGACCGGACCGAAAACGGAAAGGCCGATAACCGGACCTATACCAATGCCGATTCCTGTACCAGTATTTCCGAAACCGATAGGTCCAGTACCTCTCTTACCACCACCTCCGCCTATAATCCAAGCACCTTTACCAGTTGGTGTACCTTTCGCTCCAAACCCTATGATGCCAGTAAGTTCTGGTGTAGCGTATCCAATTGCGTCAAATGCTCCACCACCGCCATTCCTCCCATACAACACATATGCATCTTACGGCAACCAACAAGCAGGAATGGTTCCAGGAATAAGAGGTATAGTAACACGCGATGGAGGAATCAATATTTTACCATTTTCTGATGCGTATTCTGATATGCTAGAGAAACAAAAACAAAAAATGATACGAAGAAAACTCCAGAGAGTTCTCGACGACTACGAAGATTACCCCAAAAACTATTACAGGCTACGAAAGAGGTTGAGAAACGCATACATTGAATGAGCTATGAAATTAAAAAAAAAATATAATTGAGGAAAACAAAAAACAAATTGAGCTACACTTTTTTAATTAAAATAGGAAACGTATTTGGAAATATATGCTTTAAAAATGTCTTATTGTTTAAGTTATTAAAATATTATAAAAATACAAAAACTACTTTTACCCATGAAACCAAATAAAACGCATTTACTAAATTAAAATAATTGTGTGGTTTCGCACATCGCTGCAGCAGCTTTTAATCATAAAGGTATCACTTATTTACTGTTGCGAATGGATAATTATAGAAATGAGGTTTTCGATATTATATTTCATATTTATGGTAATTTTAACATTTTTGAATTAATAGCTGTCGACCGCGACTTCGTCCGCACGGAATAAAAAAACAGAATAAATAACTTATGTGTTCTTACAGACTATGTTCTACATGTGTGTCCAAATATCTGTAAGATTCATGTAGCCATTCCGGAGATACCTTCAAACAAACATCAATCCATTCATCTAAATGTTTGCATTTATAATATTAGTAAGAGCGATGTAAATTTTTGATAAATGAATTATGACATTACACTATTTTAGAGTCAAAATTCGCTCAGTGTTGTATAAAAGTAACTTTATAAAGTAAATTTTAATGACAAACCTTTGTGAACATGCATCCACTACAATCCCAACAATATCCATTAGCTTTGAGTGACGCGCTGTATCATGATATTGGATTAAAATTACCATTAATATGTTCGCATTGCAAATTAAAGATTATCTTTTAAATAGAGTTAAATACATTTAGTAAATTACTTTTATAAATTTTAAATTACACAGATTTAAATGAAAAGTAATTTGTAAAATCTGAATTATTTGCAAACCGATCAAGTACGTTGTCACAAATTCTCACGGCAAAGGAAAACATCGTGATACAACCTGCACATGTTTGCGAAGGAATTCAAAGATATGTGTGAAGCCAACCCTCACTGAACCAGCGTGGTTGACTATGGTGTAGTCACCCCTAACTTTGGGCAGGCATCGAGCCCCTGAGGACGTAGAGTGAGTTGTTGATACAATCGTAAATCGAGACTTTTGTCTTAGTTATTAATTAAAGTAAGAACAAGGTAAAAGCAATAAAAGAAACATTTATATATTAGAGCACAAATGGCATGGACGTTGAAGAATATCTACGCAACAGAGCCGTGGATTTGTTACTGCATTTATTCAGAGTATTAGATTACTCTCGCCTACTAACTTCGTCGACTGTGCACTTTAAATCGAATACGACCTATTAGCGGCCCCTGGAATAAAACGAAATCAAATAAAATTTGATCCAGACACGTCTTTTCATTTTATTAAAGTGAACCTTTTTAAATAAGTTTAAAAAGTTGCATCGCAAACGTATTGAAAACCAATCTACCTGAGTTTATTCACTTTGTTTAAATTCATTTAATAACTATTGATGTGACATTTGCTGAACAAAAAACCGTGAAACAATACACTGCAGATTTAGTGCTTACGCTGACTACGGTGAGTACGACCATAGAGAGTGTTGACAAGAACATATGAGACAGGTAAGAACACAAAGAATGCTAATTGTGACGAATGGCAACCCATATTTAAAAGTTATCCATTTCCTTAATATAGCGGGTAAAAATAAGCTCTGGGGACATTTTAATGTAACATTTGATAAATGAAATCATTAATGCTATTCAAAGTCAAAAAAGTATGGAATTGACAATAATCTTTATATGTCGCGTGCATGTCACTAATTTTTTCGATACATTTTAACATATTTTATCGATTCTACTAGAGATAGTAATATTCGAATGTTACATTATGTAACCCCAGCTATCTTTAAAGCAACTAAAATCGAAAATCTTTTATACCTTTATTTAATTAAGTGTATAGAATATTAAGTTAGTCTAAGTTATTAAATCTAGTCAAGTGCAAGGGAAAAACTTGCACAAACTTCTAGTTATCCGTATAACAGTTACAGAGTTAAAATCGGCATTAACTTGCTCAACTTACTCAGCAAGATGTTCGCAGATTTCTTGCATATTTAGTTAATTATGCTGAAAATAGCAAGAAAATTTTTAACTAGTCTAATTTTAAATGATCTCTTTCATAATTAGTGCACTAAGGAAATATCTCCGTATTTTAAAGAGGAAGTTAGACTAGTTCCCATAATGGTACTTTTGATTTACAGCGCAAATGTAATTCATCTTTCATTTTGTAATTGGATGAAATCATTGAAACGTCAAATTAAAATTTAATGCAATAATTTACTACATTAATCAATGCTTAATTCAACATCGATAATTACGTATTTTAAATATCACACTAGAGTTTATCAACTGTTTTTATCATTTCCATAAAATGTTTTTCGTGATATGTATATATTTTACGCCAATTTTGTATTTGGGCGTAAAATATTTTTTGAACTTGTCATTTTGGTAAAGATGAAAGCACAAAAATTTGTGCGTTTAATTGTAACTTTTCATATTTACAATAAGATTTTAACCGTAACTATATTGACCTTATTAATAAAAAAAAATACTAGCTGTCAACTCCGTCCGCCCAAATTAAAGTAAAAAATAATAAGTAGCCCATGCGTTTTACATCTATGCCAAATTTAGCGAGATCGATGCAGCCGTTCTGGGGATACCTTCAAACATCCATCCATCCTAACATTTGCAAATTATAATATTTGTAAGATGTTTATTAATAATTTAAATGTCTTAAATACTTCTACAAATAATTAAATTGCAATAAATACTAACAAAGATGACTAAGTAACGCAATTTGTTTTCTTAATTGACTAAACATCAGAAGCGGGTGAGATCCGAGGAATACAACACTTCCGTGACGTGAAAGAAATGTATGGTTATATAATACATCAACGTCAGCTTTAACAGCGCGGCTAAAACAAATAGTTCTTTTGTATTGCAACTTCTGAAAGGCTACGTCTGCCTTGAAAATAGCTGTATATACATTCTGTCTGCAGAATATTTGCTTTCTTTAAGAAAATCTCTAAACATTTTAACTAACGTTTAAAATTCACAACTTTTTTTATTTTACCCGCATTTTTTTAGTTAACAACTGAATGAAAACAAAGACTACATTAAAATATATATGTTAATTATAACAAGACAAAACTCTAGTGAATACTTGATAAATACAAGTCGTAATATTTGTTCACAACAATTATATTTTGCTACTTAAAATTACGAAAAACTTTTTATTAACGTATAGTTCAAACGGATCTGACTAATTGAATTCATCGAAGTCTTCCAATCAAGCCTGTCACGTGGTGCTCGACGTGCACTGATATTTCACGTAATCTGTTCGCACATATTTCAACCGCATTTATACCCTTTAAATGCAATTTCGG